GGCCGCCTTTGCCCTGCCCCCCAGCTCTTAGCTGCCCCCTGGGTTTCTGATCACTGTCAGTGGCAGGGGGCTTCTTCCTGCTTTCCCTTTTGCCTCCCTGAATTGTGCCTACATATGCAAATTAACCGCCATCTTTGTGGCAGTTAACTGCTATCTGAGTTGGCAGTTAATTTGCATATAGCCCTGATTAGCCAATGAAAAGGGTAGCGTCGTACGCCAATTACCATTTTTCTCTTTTATTAGTGTAGATTTTTTGTGAGTGGTATCATTCACCTAATCTGAAAGATGGATTAATTAGAAACAGATTATATAAATCTAAATGGTAGTTTTCAATTTTTTTTTGCAATAATCCCTGTGATTTGGGGGTTGCATAAGGAATTAAATACTCTTTACTAAACCTTAAAGGCTTAAGCAAATTAAAAATACATTCGTATTATTAAATAATATATATTTTGGATCCCTGAAAGCAATTATGTTTCAAAAGTACTGTTTGCCTACAAATGTGAAAAGTAGGATTCTGAGATCCTTCAGGAATTATTGCTTTTCAATAATTTTTGTACGTATAAGTGATGAAATGATAAGAAATTATTTTTCTTAGATCATGACAACACTGAAGTTTTTATTAGAAGGACAACGTGACGAAAATGTTTTTATAATTGTACATAAGAAAATCACATGGGAAGTTCCTCAATTCTTCCTAACACTGACCTCCGGGGCCTCACTGCTTGTTTCATTGCTTATTTGTCCTGCGTGTGGCTCTCAAAAGCCTTTCACAGGAAGCTCTCAGTCTAGAACTTTGTGGGATTTTGCAGAAGAAACCCATGTAATGGGTGTTGGATTAGTATAACTAGGGAACCCTTGCCACCACTCTGCCCCTTCAATACTGTGGAAAGTGCCCTCTATAGTCTTCATTCAATGGTCAAATTTTCATGTGATTGCAAACTGATTGCATCGGGCCAGATTTTATAGAAAATGGTTTAAGTGAGTCCAAAGCACAGTTATAAAACACTTTTACTTGTGAAGTGTGTTGTTCATGCATTCCAGTTGACCCATTATGCATTTTTATACTTTAATATATGACTTAGCTAGAGATACATCTTTCGTAAAAATTGGTAGTAGTTAAATAAGATATCAACTATTATATTTGACAGATTTTTATTAGGTTGACATGTATTTTATAGTCTAGGTACAATAATTTCCTTTAGAATAGTACATTTTCCCCACGTTTATTTAAAAATTACTGATCAATAGATTGTGGGGGAAAACCAACCTTGGTCAGATTTTTAAAAATTTTTAGAAACTTATTAGAAGCAGCTAGTATTAGAGACAAAGACAATTAAAATAATAATGAATACAATAAATAAATAAAATCAAATAATAATGAATGCAATTTGTTTTGTTAGTTTGATATGAAATAAAATTTGATTTAATAGCTATCTTTGCGCACCTGATGTGCACACAATGCATAGAAAACTGCATAACAGGTGTCCTTAGCTCTTAGTCTTCAAGGTGTAATGCTTATTGTAGGGAATTAACACCTGCTAGTAGCAACTAAAAGCATGATTACATTTATTGAGAAATGCTCTCTCCATCAGTCCAACGTCTTGAGCCATACAACCATCACAATATTTAAATTGCAGACTTACCTAAGAACAAGGACTCATTTCCTCTACCATCTCTGATTTCAACTACATCTGCAATATTTTCTAAGTCAAATTCTTGAAAATGAAGTTGGATGTTCTTTCCCTTTTGTGCATTTAAATTCCAAACACCTGAAAAGTAGTAAATAATAACACTTAGTTTAGAACATGCTTTTATTTTTCTTAAAAGCTAACTCTCTTGAGAATTTCAAATCACTTTCAAATAATTTTTTCTATTTTATGAAAACCAATACTCCAAACTGTTTTTTTCCTGTGTATGTGAGGAAATATATATTGGTCTAGTTATGAGTATTTATAGTAAAGTTTCAGTAAAATTTGAAGTGATTTACTGAAACTGAATTTGCTTTATTTTATATAAAGTGGCATACTTTAATCAAAGCTTACACATAGTATTTTGCTCTTACAATCTACTAGTAAATTTTATAAACATCAAAGACATTAATATTCTAGTTTCATTATCTTATTTCTCATGATTCATTTTAGAGGAAAATGGGGTGATTAAAATGCAATTTGTAGGACAAGGAATCTTTGCTATTTCTTTAAGTGATTTTGCCATTATTTAAACATGTTGTTTACTGGTAGTTCATTTTGAAAAAAAAAAAACCCACACAAAAGAACATTACCAGCCTTAGTATCAATAAATACTCCTTGTTCTTTATTGATTCCTTAAACAATTTATTCTTTAGATTCTGTTCTAGGTCCTTTCCTCATTTTGTATGTGTTCTTATTCACTCGTAAAGAAGATCATTTCTTGGATGTAGTAATGACTTCCAGTTTTTATTTTCTGCGCTTTTCTTCTGAAGTAGATACATTATTTATTGTGTATGAATATATGTATCCCAAACTCATACATGTAATAAATAGAATACGGAATTATTTCCTCCCTAAGCTCATTTCTCTTCTTATCCTTCCTATCTCAGTAAATGGCACCACTAATCATTCACTCACAGTTGTCTACATCAGAAACCTCTGCATCTTCCTTGACCTCCTTTCTCCTACCACAGCCAATCAATCACCTGGACCAGCCAATACCATCTCCTCAATCCCTTGGTCTCATTTACTTCTGAGTCCTCATCGCCACTCCCTGAGTTTAAGTCACTTGTTTTTCATTATCTAATTGGTGATGCTGAAGGCTCTCTTCCCTTGCTGTCTATCTCTGATCCTACAAGCCAGATGGATTCATCTAAAATGCAAGCTTGATTTTACCACTATTTTCATGTGAACCATTGGAAGTCTCCCCAGTGCTCTCAGAATGAAATCCAAACTGCATAATATGATGCAAGATTCCTTCCCTCCCAAATTTCATTTTTTACTGCTCCTTAATTTTGCTTGAAGATTCAAGAAAAAAAATCATGTCACCTAACCTCTGAACTTCCCATGTGTTACATATCTTTCATGTCCCTCCATAGCATTCTGCCTTTATTCGTATCATGACAGTACCCTGGGCATTTTGTAATCCCTGACAATTTATCTGAAACTTCCTTTAGAATGAATTATGTTTGTTTCTTCTTTGCTTACTTCAGTGCCTAACAAATAAAGTGTTCAGTATATGTTTGTTGAATAAATCAATACATTTAATAGATTTCTCCAAATTGTTCTTTCAGTGTTCCGCCCATTTTCAGATTTTTCAAAGCATTACTTTGTACAGGTGATATATTTAAAAGATGTCTTCAGTGTGAAGTGGAGATGATAATCTCTGGTTCCCCAAACAAGTCAAATTAAATTAATGGCTGTTTATTATTTTTAAATCAGATATCTCCCCAAAATAGTGACTCTATTATTCTATGAAAGTGATACTTATCTCTGGGTCATTTGAAGCAAGAATAGTTGACATTTTCTAACAGCACATTTTTCACTGTCATCGGGCCATTTCTTTCACTGGTAGAAGTCTCTGTTTAGATCCATGGTGCTAACCAGGTGTGGCCAAAGGAAAAAACATGTCTTTTTCTCCCACCGAAGTGGAATCTTTGCAGGAGGAGATGAGAACTGCATCTTTAACACAATCTCTATCCAGCTCTAATGAACTTCTCCATTTAGGAGTAATGATCTATAGATAGAATTTGTGCAGTTTCAGCTAATCCATCTTCTCACTAGACTTAGATTTTTTTTTAGTAATTATTATTATTATTATTACTGGGGGTCTAATTACATTACTCTAGCTGCTTTGCTGGCTCTAGGCTATATCTACAAAAGGTGAGGATGTTACAATTGACTCTTTGCTGTTTATACTTTTCACTGACTTTATTCTATGGAATTGCCACCTTGTTGTATACACCATAGGCATCATATGTATAATCAAAGAGATTGACTAAGAGAGTGGTATCTGGCCCTGGCCATAGTGGTTTAGTTGGTAGGGCATTGTCCCATGTATCAAGAGGCTGCTGGTTCAATTCTCAGTCAAGGGCACATGCCCAGGTTGTGGGCTCCACCCAACCCCTGGTGGGGGTTGTGCAGGAGGCATCAGTTGATGTTGCACTCTCACATGGATGTTTCTCTCTCTCCCTCTCTCTCCCTCTCTAAAAAATAAATAAACTATTCTTTTTCTTTTTAAAGAGAGAGAGAGCAGTACCTGGAGTAAGGCTGGCTCTTTCACTTACTGACTTGATTCCCATTTTAAATTTGAGAAATATAATAGTAACTAGAGGCTCGGTCACAAAAATTTGTGCACTTGGGGGGTCCCTCAGCCAGGCCTGTGCCCTTTCGCAGTCTGGGATCCCTCGGGGGATGTCCACCTGCTGGCTTAGGCCCACTCTCCGGGGGATTGGGCCTAAGCTGGCAGTCAGACATCCCTCTGGCAGCCCAGGAGCCTCCAGGGGATGTCTACTTGCCAGCAGGGAGCAGGCCTAAGCTGCAGTCGGACATCCTTAGTGCTGCTGAGGAGGTGGGAAACGCTCCCACCACCACCATTGTACTGGCAGCCATCAGCCTGGCTTGTGGCTGAGCAGAGCTCCTCCCATGTGAGAGCGACCTGACCACCAGGGGGCAGCTCCTGCATGGATCGTCTGCTCCCTGGTGGTCAGTGTGTGTGATAGTGACCAGTCATTCTCAGTCGCTCTGCTGTTAGGGTCAATTTGCATATTACCCTTTTACTATATAGGATAGCACCTGCTTGAAAGAATTGTTGTGAGAAGTGACTGAAAAATTATATTAAGCACTAATAGAGCACCTGAAATAATTGCTTAAAATAGCAATTTATTATTGTTATTCTTGCCGTTATCATTATATTAAGCAATCTCATAAATGTAGATGTATCCAGATATAAGACCTTTGTAATCTACTTTGCTGCCTCTAGGGGACACTTTAATAAATACAATACAGTTGTTTGCCATGGCCTGGAAAAGAGATGACTCACAGGTAGCCTGATTAGGATAGTTGTTTGGAAAGTTCATAGAAGTAAATGTTGTATTTGGCTCCCACAGTTCAAAAGGTCCTCCACAGTCCGCTGGAAAGGAAAACGATGAAAAGTCATTAGTAACGTAATGTTAATTTCAAGGAGATAATACTATTTGCTAGAAAATTTCCAATTACATTTCTTGGTTTTGACAGATACATTTTCGAGTATGTGGATGGGAAAGTCTTGCAACTTGAGTATAGGAAAAACACAGGCAAACAGGTCTCTTTACTGAAGAATGTCACAAAACCTTAAATATTCCACTGTTCTTTGTGGCGGGCATAATAGTGTATAGCATTTTCCAGAATTATTTGGGCGAGAAAATAGTTTTGCTGAACGTATTTTATAAACAGACTGCATGAGTAAAGTATCAGTCCTCTGCAGTAGAGAAGAAAATGATCTCATTGGAACAAATTGTATATCTGCCACTCTCTTATGAGAAGGCTCATAAATCACTAATCTTGCCATTTTTCTTTTTTCTACTTTTTTTTGGGAGGGGGGCGTGTAGAAGGGAAGCCTCATCATCCTGTTTACTGAGGCATTTGACTGTCAGAAAAGGGAGATAAACTGAAACTCCACTTGCTTAATAATTGCCATAAAGTGGTCTGTTACCCAACACTATCCCAGAGACAAGTTAGGATTGAGCTTAATGCAAATTTATTAGCAAAAGAGAGCCCAGATTTCCATTTAAAAGTATGATGCCTTAAGTAGGTAGGTTAAATTTATAATTCTTAGCATACTTATATTGTCATCTTCTTGCTAATTAGAAGAAAATTCTAATGTAACAATTCATAAACTACTATTAGTATCCCAATTCTTATTTTTATTATTACATTTATGATAAAAAGAGTAAGAGTAACCTAATTTGAAAAATATGGAAAACTAGGATAAGTATATATTTTCTTATCATTAAAGCAGGCTCTCTACGGGAATTATTTACTCCCAATAAGATAGAAATCAGATTACAGGAGGGATGATTAAAGATCTCTACCCCTATGGCAATGCCTCAGTCATTCCCTCTTTTTCATCCATCTTTTATATATCATCTTATTTACGCAGATCCTTGGAAAGTCACGTGCATCTTCCGAATATGTCTGTAATAAGCCTCTTAGATTTGGGTTCATGATGTACCTGATGGGACAGAGAGGCAGCGGCTGTAGCTTGAGAGCAGCATCGTTGCCAACCTATCATGTTCTGCAGTGTGGCAGGACCTGGTCTACCTTACATCAGGTAGGCTTGTCTGAACCTAGATGAGCTTAGCAAGAATAATAAAACTTCTTACAAAAATTATCTTTTGCAAAATGTTTCCATAAACATGGTCTCACTTGGGGAAAGAACATGGGTATTTGGGAAGATGTATTAGAGCTAGTGGATTAAAATTGTCTCTCACACTGGCGTGGCTCAGTGGTTGAACGTTGACCTAGGGCACATGCCCGGTTTGCAGGCTCGATCCCCAGTGTGGGGCATGCAGAAGGCAGCTGATCAATGATTCTCTCTCATCATTGATGTTTCTATCTCTCTCTCCCTCTCCCTTCTTCTCTGATATCAATGAAAATATATTTTAAAATAAAATAAAATAACCTCCCTGAATTAGTTATTTGTCTGTTCAAGACTTGGCTTTCTCATATATAAATACATATATATTAGAGATTTTCAAGGTTGTTTTAAAAATCAGACATAATTTATGACAATTGCCTACATATTACCTGGAATATTCAGTATTGGTTTTCAATGCATACTTGTAAATTAGGTAACTACTGTTTCTATTTTAAATGGATGACTTGAGCATTTAAGGTATTCAATTGCTTGTTAACGCTGTGTACATTCACTTAGTGTCAAAGTCAAAACTTCAACTCAGTTAATCACAAGTTCATCCCACAGCACGTTCCTATCTCCTATTGGGTTGATTAAACTCTGAATCATTTTGACCATCTGGTCTGAGCCACGGGCAGAGTTTAGGCCGAGCCTCACTAAGTAGCACTTGATGTGTATGTGACATATTCTTTATGGGTATAGACAGAGAAGGAGGGAAGAAGGGGACATAAATGAAAGCACTAACAATCAAGGTCGATCATGAATAGATAAGAAGGGAGGAAAGCTCTGTACACAGGACACAGAAGAAGGTATTTGAGACATAGAAAGAGTGATAATGGGAATAAGGACAGGTTTCCCCCTGGAAAGGGTGAGAGAGAGGCTGAGGAAATCGATGCTCCCACAGCGGCATTCCCCTCCTTGATTTTGTGAATAATTGTCTTGCAAAGATTTCTGTAGAAGAATCTACTACAACCTCTTAACTCCCATTCACTTAATCTTAATGAATCTAAGTGCCATGAGTTCCCTTCAATTCTCAGTGAAACCCAGGGAGAAGAGAGTGTAACTGTAGAGACAAAAACAAACAAACAAACAACAAAAAACACTGCAGAGTGAAGACTGGAGAAAACCAGTTCTTCCTACCTCACAAGTTCAGCCATGGTCAGTGTGGCTAGTGGGGTTTTTGTTTTATTTTGTTTGTTGTTTTTGATGATCATTCTCATTTTCTCTTCAGGGAATAAAAGAATTTCAAAATCAGCTACTCCTACTGGCTGACATTTTAGAGACTGTATTGAATTTTCACAGAACTAAACACTTAACAGTACATTATATGTGAATGAGTAGGTAGGACTTAAATAAACATACACCCAGAACCCAAATGTTGCCCAGTGTAGCTGTTAAGCTGTCAAGGCAGGCAATTTAGCATTTCTCCGCTGAACAGAAGTCTTAGAAAATTCATTCCTTTAAAATACTTAAGAAGTACTTTTTGAAATGCATTTCAAATATATCAAATAACTAAGCAGTGGGATACAGCTCTGATCCTTAACTTGATAACAAGTTTCAATTACCCTGAATACAAATAACTGTAAAGAATTGACAAAAGCACTTTCAGCCATTCTACATCTGATGACACCGTTTATTTTAATGGGGGTGTTGCTGGAATGGAAATGTAGCCTGTGCTTCTTAGTAGAGGAGCCAAAGACTCATGAAATGTAATTCTGGATATCAGTAATGCTGTGTTATTAGATAAACCATCTCCATCCAGAGAAAGAGCTAAACAGCCTGTCTGGTACAGGGAACTCAATTCAACCACACTTGTTAAACTCTTTCATTTATTTTTTCTTGGAGTTGTTCTTTTGATTAATTTCTTACTATTTCAATAGGGGCCTCTGACATGCATGAGATATGTGTCAATGTAGAGACATTTACTGTCAGGTGAAAAGGTGGACAGCCCAACTTTCATTTACAATAAGAGGGTTCAAATTAAAAATGTTTGGTAAAATAAACATCATTATCATAGTAATACACAGGCATACAGTATCACAGGAAATATTTTGAAAGTTAAAGTTGCAATATAAAATTTCTCATCCAAATCTGTGCTTAGTTTATGAAAATAAATATTTCTATGAACAGGTTCTAGGGCCCAGCCATAATGGTAATATTTGTATTCAATTTATGACAATAAAGTTAAATTGTCATTCCTTATGGTTTATATTGTACTTGTAATAGCAATACAGCCAATAACTCTAACAAGTAGGCTATTCATTTTAAAAGTAAAAAGATAAAAAAATAAAGTGTCCCAAAACACACTTATACCAAAGTATATGAGTAAACTTAATATGCATTTGCTAGGGGTTTGAATATCAAGTCACATAATAATACAAAAGGCAAGTAGTTCTGCTGAAATATGGGAAGGAAGGCCCTGGCCAGCAGCCGGCAGCCGGCAGCCACTACCGACCCTACCCGTGCATGAATTTCATGCACTGGGCCTCTAGTCAATTATAAGAGAGGTAGATAGGTACTGATTCATTTCTATATGAAGAATCAAAATTAGATTATTTAGCTCTAAGTATAATGTCATGCCTCTAAAACTTTACAAGTAAACATTTGTTTTGTCTTTGGAAATGGAAAATGGCTTAATAGTGGCCAAATAGAGCAAAACATGTAGAAATAAAGGGTGACTATTAAAATAGTTAAAACTATAGTTTTTTTCTCGCCCCCTTAATTACTTTTTTTTTCAAATATATTCCATTGATCTTCCACAGAGAGGAAGGGAGAGAGATAGAGAGTCAGAAATATTAATGAGAGAGAAACATTGATCAGCTGCCTCCTGCACACCCGCCACTGGGGATGTGTCCGCAACCAAGGCATATGCCCTTGACTGGAATCGAACCCAGGACCCTTCAGTCCACAGGCTGACGCTCCATCCACTGAACCAAACTGATCAGGGCCCCCTTTTAATTACTTTTAACAGTCACAGAAGCAAGTCAGCAGATTAAAATATGGATTTGTTTTGTATATACCTACCGTATTTGCCGGCATATAAGACGATTTTTTGGCCCTGAAAAATATGCCTCCAAGTGGGGGGTCGTCTTATACGCCAGATACACTTCAGATAGACTGCCCATAGTGCTTGCCCCATGCCATAGTGGCCTCCCGATGCCCGCCCACTTCATTCCACATACCGTTCAGGCATCAGCAGCGCTGCTGGGTGTATGCTCGGCTGTTATGCGATTTTGCTGTTATGCGATTTTACCACACTCGCAAAATCGCACACAGCCGACCATACACCCAGTATGATAGCGCAAAATCACGAATCGCGATACCATACTGGGTGTATGGTTGGCTGTGTGCGATTTTGCGAGTGTGGTAAATTCGGGTTACCGTATATTTCTTTACATATGCATTGAATTTTAAAGAAGGC